AGGGAGAAAGAAAGAATGACAGAGGAAAAGAAAAATAAGGACACACCCACAAAGAAAACACATCCAAAACGTATTGGAGCTGATATGTTACAGACGAGAAATAAAAATAAGCAAAGTTGTCCTACCAAGAAAAAGTGCTTATATCAACAAAACTACACCAAGTCCTAAATGGCTATGTACTTGTAATGCAGAATATTAAACAAGAATTAAATTAGAGTAGCCATCTGGGGCTTGGCTTCAACGACATAAAGAATTTTAATTAAGCTTCCTGTACACGGTGGTCACATTTGTAATTTGACACCTGAAATATCAGTTACTCAAACTGTGAGGCTACTGCTGTTCTTTCACACAAAAAATCAATAAAAATAAAAGTAATAACCTTGGTCTGCAACAGGGAGGATGTCTGAAGGTTGCCTGCATTTCAAAACGACCTACAGTGACATATCAATCCCTTCTCTACACATTCAGTCTTTATGTGGAATTTTTCCGAACAAACTTCCTACACATCTTGTGCATCGACATTTGATTTTCTCCACAATTAGTTAACTGCTGTTTACATATATCTCATATCTCCCCTTTTACACTATCAACAAATGCTTCCCTGAATTATACATGGTATCAAAGGGTGATATATTTGTGAGGCATAATGGTGAAATCAGGCGCTCATCAAAATAATGAAATTGAAGAAACTATTTTTCAATCTATTTGGAAATTTTTATCGAATTTTTAATTTTCGGCTCAACACCTTGCATGTCCATTTAAAAACACATTGCTGTGTGGATTTTATTGAAAAGAGTTGATTAAAGGCATGCACATTGTAAATTTACAGTTTCCACTGGCTCTCAAGCTTTGGAAATCACTAAACTTTGGCGGACATTTTCTCATTAATTCTGTCCCCGTCGTTTTATGCAAGGAAAATTCTGAAATTATGCAAACTGAGTCCAAAAATGTGAAATTATGCGATTCTGTTAATTTTAACAAAGAATGATAAAGGAAAATAATCAGAAATTATGCCAATAAATGATCAAATTTTGCTAAATTATACCGGGTGCATAAAACCACGGGGACAGTTAATTTTGCCTCTGAAACCAGGCGACCCAACCTCCTTCAATCCAAGATAATCAATTTCAAGATACAAAGGATTTTTTTTTCATCAAAAGATAGACAAATGAACAAGCTTTACGATGGTACCAATAACTCCATATATACCCAAAAACTGACGAGCACCTGATTCCACCACTTCGTGACAAATCTTACAACAAAATTAAGACTATACTAGTGTAACCAAGGAAGAAAAATACCTCAGCAGTTTTCCACATGAGGGTCTCTTCCACATCTTTTCCCTTGAGCTCTTTTGCAGCTCCTTTATACCATTCCTCATCAATGGGTTTTTGAGTGCTGGCAAGTCTAGAAGCAGCTGGAGAACATGCCTGAAATAATAATGCATTTTTTCAGGGCACACACATTGATTAATTAATCTCCTCAAATGACAAAACACAGATAGATAAGCCAGTCCTTGAACAAAAATGCATGTATGTATCTCTAATATTAAAGCCATATGTTTTTCTGCCCATTCAGCTCAAATATCCCCAGTGGGAAAAGCAAGCTTGAGGTAAAAATACTGGATACTAAGAAAGAAAACAAGTTTTAAAAAAGGAGACAAGTTAGAACTGGCCTCTCTTACGTGGTGATCAGTTCACACGCAAGGAATCCTGAACATTCCGTGAGGTCAATATATATCTGATTCATAATTCAAATATCAATTTCATAGAGACCAGACTCTTTAACAGTGCAGCTTGTGCCAGTAAAGGTGGAACCCCTCTCACAGCTTCACCGAGAGCCTAATAGTAATAGAATTTCTAATTGATCCAAATCATTCCAACTAGAACTTCTGAGATTCCTAAATGATCAAGATGTACAGTATCTCCTCCCTTGTCGGTAAAGTCAACCACTTCTTCCCCAGTGTTCTCCATGATAAGGGGCTCACACACACAAGAAGCAAAACAATCAAATGAATAAGCTGGACAGCCTATGGTGTGGAATTTCAATACTTAATTTCAGTTTATTCTTGAAAATGGCAAACCGTTTCAATAGAAATTATTGAGAGGAAATTTTTGCTTAGAGATACAAAAACTATGCAAAACAAAGAAAAATTATTCACAACAGAAGCAAATGATGGTACTGTGCCATCAGAT